CGCGAACACTCCAATTCGATGGGTGCTCGACTACCGGCATGTCAACTCCCGGTCTGAAATCCCCAAGATACCTCTACCCAACAGGACATCTTCAACAAGATGCATGGATGCAAGATATTCTCGAAGCTTGATCTTGCATCGGGGTACCATCAAATGCTTGTGCTCCCACATGCTCGCAAGTACACGGCATTTCGAACGCACAAGGAACTCTTGCAATGGTGCGTTGCGCCGATGGGCATGGCGGGTATGCCGGGGATATGGTCGCGACTGATGCGATCATTGTTCGACAAGTTTCCATTCGTTGTTGTCTACCTGGATGACATTTGTGTCTACTCGAAGACCATGGACGAACACGTCGAACATGTGCGAGTTGTCCTGGAAGTCTTGTGCAAGGAAAAGTTGTATGTGCGACTCGACAAGTGCGTGTTTGCAGTCGATAAAGTGAACTTCCTGGGGCACACCATCTCTGGTGATGGATTGCAAGTCGATTCGAGCAAGGTTCGAGCGATCGAAGAGTGGGCAGCGATTAGTAATCGCAAGGAGCTCTTAAGTTTCTTCGGCATGGCGGGGTACTACCGCAAGTTCATTGCGAACTATGCCAAGTTGATACTACCGATTCAGCGAGCTCGCGAAGGTTCCATGGGAATGGATGGACCGACACAACAGGGCGTTTTTGGTCGTCAAGGCTGCGTTGTAACAAGCTCCAGTGTTGCAGTTACCGGACTTTGACAAACCATTTATGATCACAACGGATGCCTCGGGCTATTGTTGTGGAGCGGTGTTATCGCAACTGGATGCGAACAAAGAAGACCGACCGGTTGCATTTTTGTCGAAGAAGCTAAGTGACACCGAGTGCAATTGGCCATCGCATGAGAAAGAATTGTATGCGATCAAGTTGGCAATAGCCAAGTGGAGACAGTACGTCTATGGGTCACACTTTGATGTCTTCACGGACAACGCGACTTGTCAGTGGTTTCTGAAGACTCCAGTTTTAACAGCTAAGTTAACACTGGTTAGATTTCTTCAGCAGCTTTGACTTTACGTTGCACCATCGTCCTGGAAAAACAAACGTTGTTGCGGATGCACTCTCACGTCCACCGCGCAATATCATGTAAGCGGGTACGTGCGCTGTGCATGAGTGTGACACTACGTGTTACGAACGCTATCGTTGCGTTAACCGATGGAAGGATCGATTGCATGACATCAAGTGCTTGAACATTCGCACTTTGGAATTGATGATGAACTTGCCTTCTCGGTGGGAGGAGGTCGATGCACCGAATTTCGAAGTCGAAGTTCCGCATCAACTCGTCATCAACCACGCGGAGAAATTTTCGTATTCATCGATCAAGATGGACGATAACTTCAAGCAACGCTTTGTGCGAGAATACGCCAAGACGAAGGACTTCGAGAACGAAGACAAGCTCTAGAAGAAGGATGGACTCTTCTTCGTGAAATCGAAGGATCAAGTGTGGAAGTTGTGCGTTCCAAACGACGACTACCTCAAGGGCGAGATTATTTCGCAGAGTCATGACACAAGCACCACGGCTCATCCCGGCGTATGGCGAACGCAATTGCACGTTGCACAATGGTATTATTGGAGCGGTCTTGAAGAAGACGTGAAACTCTATGTTGCGGCGTGTGAAACTTGTTCGCGATACAAGCCAAGCAGCGCCAAGGCGAATGGAAGAATGATTCCAATCGAATCGCCTGAAGAATGTTGGCACACAGTTTCGATGGACTGGATTACTGGTTTACCGGTCTCGAACGGAAAGGATGCGATCATGACGTGCGTTGCTAAAAACTTCAAAGCGTCCAGCATACTGTGCGACAAGTCAAACGTGGATGCTCTTCAAGCAGCAAAGGAATTCTTCGATGCAGTCGTCCGACACCATGGTTTGCCAGCAGTTGTCATCAGCGACCGAGATTCCAAGTTCACGAGTGAATTTTGGCAAGCGTTGATGAAGATCATGGGCGTCAAGCATTGCATGGCGACGGTGGGTCGGCCGCAAAGTGATGGAGCCACCGAACGACAAAATCGGACCCTCGAAGATGCTTTGAGATGTCAAGTCTCAAACTTGGGTCACGACTGGTCAGAACATCTTGGAACCATGGAATATGCACATAAAGGGCTAGTTCAAGCGTCAACGGGGTTAACACCATTTGAAGTGGATACGGGAAGAAAGTTACGCAACCCATCGCTGAACGAGATTGAGGCACTAAACGAGTATGCAAAGAACTTCGCGGAACAGCGCAAGGAACTCGTGCGCATGGCACTTGACAACCTGGAAAAAGCACAAACTCGACAGAAGAACTACTACGACAAGAAGCCATCGCTGGTAGAGTTCAAGGAGGGCGATTATGTGATGCAGGCGACGACAAACATTCCGTTGAAGCATGCTGAAGTCAAAAACAAGAATGAAAAAGCCAAGTTCGTCCCACGATTCATTTGCCTGTTCAAGATACAAGAAGTTTTGAACGCCAATGCGATGCGGTTGAAGCTGCCACAAAGCATGAGCAGGCTTCACGTTGCCTTCCATGTGAATCGCTTGAAGCATCATGTCCAAAACCCAGAACGATTTCAAGGAATTCCAATACCCAGAGCAAGTTCTATCATTCTCTACGACACGGGAAATAAACTGCACATCGTTGAAGCACTGTTGAAGCAACGACAGTTCAATCGGAAGAAAGAGGACTTAATCAAGTGACATGGTTTGCCCGAACACGAAGCAACTTGGGAGCTCGAGCGCAGCATCAAGCATATTCCCCATTTCAAACGATTGCTTGAAGACCTGCGTTCAAGAATCCAAGTCGACAACCGGGGGAAAATTTAATGATGTCAAGGTTGCCGACCAAGAATACAGCTTGTCGCATCGTTAACAAAACGATCAAGGCTGTAGAACAAGCTAAAGATTGTCGCATCATTAACGGGCAAGGCCGTTGAAGCAGCCGTAGAGAAAAACATTTACTCGATGTAGTTTAGTATAGCATACATTTTCGTAGTTAGTAGTTTAAGACGACAATCTAATCACTTTCCAATTT